GCACAGCTGTAAGCTCCCGTACACCTCAGTGCACAYTGCGCTGGAATTCTGGTATTTACAGAATTAATTAATTACTGCAGTGGGATTGTAAACACATGGACTCACACGCATGGCGAAAGGAACACACACACCTACAACAAAAACAGCCATCAGACTTTCTCCTCGACGCCGATGCTGCGGGCAAATAGAAGAAAGTCCAGGTTTGTGTTCTATATGGGTGGTGTGAGGGGGTTTAAGAAGACTCCAGGCATCCCCTCTTTTCTCAYCCTTTCTTTCTCCTCTCATCACTAACAGTCACCACACGAGAGGACTCGTGCCTGCAGTCTCATGATCCCCGGCATGGGGCATGCCTGCCAGGAAAGGTGCCTCTTGTCACCCTTGAACTTTACGCCTGCTAATAACAAACCAGCTGAGGGGGAAATGAGCAGCAGGGGCTGCAACTGTTATTTACATGACTGGATATGTTTCCTCCAACTCTGATAATATTTCAAGTGGTACATCATTTGCCCTAAAACTGTTAATATTTTGTTGCCAAAAATAGAAACTATGAGACATTATTTCTTTATTTTCCTGGGTGCTGCTCATCCATTTGCTCTTTGCAGAGCATATAATGGCACTCTGGAGGCTATTCATGAAGTTCATTCTTCTGCATCGTGACTCTTTGTTATGAGGGCTCTAAGTGAGACAAAAGAAAGCCTGTTTGTCAGGAAGCAGATCTGAGAAAGCATATACGTCTCCACCCTCGATAGGTGGAGGGAACTGTTTCATACGTGTGGAGAAAAAAATAAAATAAACAACCCATCACAGGTGTAAAAACAAAAACTCACGTCTCTGATTTCTGAACACAAATCGTTTTTAACTAATGAAGCTAACTGCGTAAAAAGTGCTTTAATGGCACTCAAAATTCACCTGAAATAAWGAAACTTGTTGGTGTGATGTCAAAACCTAGCCTCCCAAATGAGGGTCAGCCAGAGTCACACATTAATGCAACAGATGCTGACTTGGAACTAAACAAATCTTTGCAGATGAGATCAGTCACGTTGAGGGAGAAAGACTAAAAAAAAGTGATGTTTTGAGGCTTCAGTTGTCGGGTTCTATAACAGAGGACGATACAACCATYGCTCGTTTCTCAGGTGAGTCAGAGCGGCTGCTGTGACTAAAGGCAGCAGAGGTGACTGGATATCATTTTGATGGGGAAAGAGTTTTGATTCCTTGAGTCATTTGCAAAAAAAAAAAAAAAAAAAGGAAGAAGTCAGAGGGTTGTATCATCACACAAGCACGGTGACTTTGGTCCAGTAATGTACTGCAGCCTAGTTTGCCCTGAAATAACAAGTAGACCTGCAATTTCCAAAYGCTTCACTTTATTTCACGCATCAGCTCTTTACCAAAAAGGAGGGAGGGCCTGGCTTTGTCAAAGTCTCCAGTGGTGGAGTATGACACCCATAYGAAACATAAAGCCAGCCACGTTTCTTTTCAGAGCCTTGGCACATTTTTTAAAGCGTATCCGGTRCATTTTGATTTTTTTCTTCTCTTCCTTTTGTACTGAAGGTTTTTTATTTCCTGCATGACCTTGGTTTAATAACCCACTGTTCTCAAAGCAGCACTTACCTTGACTAGAATTTCTTTCCCTCGTATAGAAACCTTATATAAAGCAGCATTAGAGGATCCCTGCAATGACACTGACTCACTCGCTGACTCACAGTCCTTCCTCTCAGCAGCAGGATCGCTTACTCAACTAAATGTGACCAGAATGTTTTCATTTGTTTATGTATTTGTTTATGTGTCTGGGTAATATCATATCTTGTGGAATATAATTACTCATACGGTGTGGGGAAACAATAAGTCCTAACGTTCAAGTCGACAGAATGAACAGGTGGGTGTTTTTGACCAGTGTCCAACATGGGTGTGCGCTGCAGTGGACCGGTGTCCTTGCATCTCTCCTGGTGTCTGGCTCTCGTCCAGGAACTTCCCTCGCCCAGCAGTCTGAGTCCGCCCATCACGACTCAGTCCTTTCCTCCCTTCTTCCCTTTCACTCACAGCACTAAATGCTCTCCTCTGTTTTCATCTCTGTCCGAAAAGTACAGTTTGCTCCGAGGTTCACTGAGGACAAAAGATGTGACCCTTTATATCCGTTTACCTTTAACCACTTATGAGCCGCTATCCAGGTCTGATGGTCGTTCATCTTGAAAATAAAGTGAAAAGACATTTAACATTTTTTTCTCTAACGTTGTTTATGGGCGTGCTAAAGAACCTGTAGCTGCTGCAATGCAGCATCAATAAACAAAAAGAAAAAGAGACGATCACTCCCCGGGGACTGCAGGGATCTTATGTGCCTCATTTGTTTTCTTCACTACTTGTTGTTTTAAATTATTTTTCATCGTTTGAATCTTGAATTTTGATTCAGTCTTTTCCATTAATGGATAAAAACACATTTCAAAGTACAGAAAAGCCAAATGTATTAATTTTGTATCAATATCAAAATCAATTTCCCTTAATTCAAATCAAATTCCTCATTAAATCAAACTGTTAAAGTGCCTGTGACATCAATTTTTTGTAACAAACATGAAYGCATTTTTGGAAAGATAACATTGATAACATGTTGCAAAAYAAATTTCACGTCGCTGAGATGAACGGTTGATGAGATACAGGCATGTGAAGAAACAGGAAGTGATGTCAAAGGGGAATGTCAGCATGTTAATAGAGCATTGTTACAAAAGCTGACAACACTGACTGTAGAGAAGAATCTGACGCTTCTTTTTTTGATTATTTTTAGTCGCTATCAAAAAAGATGAAGAACAGTTGAAGTTGAAATAATTTCATTTTAATAAACAGAGACCAGCAAGTTAATTTTATTAATGAGTTCCCCTTGGATGTCACTTCCTGTTTCACTTTGGCTGAGCCAAATTCAAAAGAAAATAGGCCAGTTATGTGACAAAATGGGTAAAATCATGTGTACTATGTCAATTTTTCTTGTGTAAAGATGCTTTCTTTGACTTTTTGTATTTGAAGGGCACATCACAGGCATAAATCAATCATTAAATGGTTTATAAAAAGAGCTTGACTTCTGCATATTCCAATTCACTTCACATTATGCTTGCAAATCTTTATTTCATTGACAAATAATCCTAAAAATAAGAAAATAAGTCAAGTTTTGTTTCATTTTTTACATTGATTTAAATGTCTGCGAAAATACATTTCTTTTGCTTAAAATAAATAAACTCACAAGAAGTTTTCAGTTTCCGGTCATTTTTTAAAAATCTGTTGGATAATTATCCTTCACTCTTTTATTCTCATTAGCTCATTATTATTTCMTTTGATGCTACCAGTCTGTGTGCCAAAAAAATATCAGATGAGGGCAAGTCCAGAAAATCAATACCTCTTGGAAACAAATTCACTCTTGACACCTTCATTTTCCATCTTCCTCATTTTTTTTTCTCACTTCAAGCACTCAGAGTATTTTTGGTGCTTGGAGCTTTTACTTTTAATTACTGCAAACTACCTATATAATGCAAACTGAGCTTTGGAGCTAGCTTTTACAGTCATTGTAACAGGCCCGTGGCTTATAAATAATAGCTGCACTGCCACGAGGAACCGAGAAATGCCATTAAGAGATAGTAGGAGGTTTGTGTTGAAGGCAGACAGATGGACAGTGGGAAGAGGTTGGCAGCCAGGATGGTCTCAGGTCTGCCAAAAGTAACCTTGGCAAAGTCTCCTTCAAACCATCTTTCTGTCTCCCCTCATCCCCTCTGTTTCTCCTCATTCACCTCCACYTCCTCCAGAGATGGGGGATTCCCACTGATCTCTGGGTTTTCTCTCATGGTCTCTTCAGGACACTTCCATTCTCCATCGTCAAAACAACAATTTGCATCTGATCAGTTTTGTTCTTCTTTAAGAGTACACCACCAGGCTCACGGATGGAGGTTTCGCTCTATTTTTGTCCCCCTCCCATCTATTATTCATACAGCTTGTTGCCAGGAAAAAATTACAACAGTGACTGCTGTGAACACACAGCAAAGAGAGAGAAAGGGGGAAAAAAAGAGGAGAGTTGTTGCTTCTGTGCAGGCTGAGACACCTGAGGTAATTGAATCACCACAGTGTGATGTTTGTTGCAGCATGCAGAGATTTGTCTTTACGGAACAAGAAATATTTTCTGCCACAACAACACACCAATTGTTTGTAAGACTTGAAAACTTGTGAAAAAAGCCTTGCCATGTTGTGATTTAACAAAACAGTGAGGTAACAGCTGTTTGCCCTATTTTTTGCGACGTTTTAGAGAATAAACAGGGAAGAAGCTGTGTAGCCCCTCTGCAGAAGTGGGAGCCCCCCCATCAGCACCACATCTCTTGGTATGCACAACAGCGCCTGACTGCAGGTTTGAATACAGTAGCAACCACGAGCTTCTTTACCCACAACTGTTTCTGTCACTTAATAATAATCAAAATAAAATCCCCACCTCCTACCGAGCTTTGTGCGTCTGTGTGCGGGGGGCTGGCTTAGGGAAATTGCATAATCTCCAAGCCCACCACGACTTTCATGCATGTCGTTTCCAGTCAGCGTCTGGAGATGCGGCTCTGCCCACCATGCAGGCTTGCAGGAGGCTTTCTGCAGCTCACACTCTGGAGTCTTATGCTGATTTAAGAGTAGACATGGATGTTGGCCGGGTGGCACAGGTTTTCTGACAAGAGGAGTCGCTGCTTCATCCAGCTGTTTTTTTTTTTTTTTTTGAGGTGTTTAAGGAGGTTCTGAGCGCTCCTGCTTTTTTTCCTCGCTGCGCATTTTCTGCAGATGTTGTCTTTGTTAAGGCCACCTTTCCCCTTGCGCTTCTCTCGGGCGTGAAAGAGGATCGTTCTGCTGAGGCCAGCACTTTTTGGTTAATAAGGGGAGCACCTGCACCATCTCGAACGCCACCCCCCACCCGCGATCGCCATCCCACGACAGCCTACCCGGAGGACCGGAGTCAGGGAGGGAGGTGGGGTGGGGTGGGGTGGGGGGAAGCGAGGACACACCCGCACAGACTGTACGCGGTGTTCACGGCAAAGGATGCTGCAGACAACATGATAAGGTGAATACCATCGACYGTCTCCAATTGGAAATCCATTGCACCCCCCCTCCTTTCCCCTCCCCACTTGAGGACCTGCTTGTCACAGCTGGTTCCTGACTCCAGCGGGAGCATCAGCTCTCAGGCAGAAATGAGACAGAAACCTGCAGGTATGTCATCTTTTAAAAATCAARATAAAGCATATTTGTGTTTCCTCGGTTCAGATTATCACCAGTGTTTGCACAGCTGATGGATTTGCACCTCACTTGCATGATTAGCTCAGATCTGCAGTTATGCTGCCTGTTTTAGGATTTTTTTTAATGCTGTTTTATTTATTTTATTCATTTTTTTTATTCTTTGCAAAACTGTGGTTCTACTTTGAGAGTGATGATGTAGCCAGAAACACATTTTTCCYCCATCTCTATTGAAGCTAGTTATTTTCCCCCATGGATAAATTATTTATAGATGTTTTTGAATCTTTTAGTAACAGGCACCATTTCAAGTCAAAAATGCTCCCATTGAACTAAACAAAAGTCACTTTATATAAGCAGGCTGTGCATTATTTTGTCTTTTTATTTTATATTCTTTAGCTGGAACAGTATTTGACTTGTGTTTTGATTGTGTGTGTTTAGACTGCAGATACGCCTGTCAGGCTGCTGTCTGCATGAATTTAGTGTCTGCTGCATTGTCATACTCATGTTTTTTACTTGAAAAGGTATTCCCAGTCAGCTCAGCAGATATTATCTGTTGCAGTAGATCAGTGTCTCGTATTGAGAGTTTGTAGATAAGTCCTGACTTTTGCTGCATCAAATCATTTTATATGCAAGGTGAATTGCTTCTCTGCATATTAATTCAAGTGGAAATCAATTTTTTGAGGTAATGATTTCATGTATATTTTCTAATCTCATAAAAACATGTGTCGTTTTAAGGAGGAATGTTTTTGTTAGTTTTTATGAGCKCAACATGTCAGAACAAAGCAGAAGTGTTGAGTGCTGACTCATTTTTCAGATTTGCCTGACCTTGCTGTCTTTTCTCTCTCTGCCTGCAGTCAGGTCCTAGGTGACATCCTGTGGCCGTCAAGTCGACACAGCGCTGGCCGCCCCTCCCTCTCCCGGCTCCCACCTGCAGTTCTCCAGGCTGCAGGACCCAGACTCATTGAAAAGTGCAGGCCTCCTCCCCCTGCAGTATGACTGTTGCCACAGGCGACCCCTCCGACGAGGCGGCCGCCCACCCGGGACACCCGCAGGACTACGACCCAGAGGCCGACCACGAGTGCTGCGAGCGGGTGGTCATTAACATCTCAGGGCTGCGCTTTGAGACGCAACTCAAAACCCTCTCGCAGTTTCCAGAAACTCTACTGGGGGACCCCAAAAAGAGGATGCGCTACTTCGATCCCTTGAGGAACGAGTACTTTTTCGACAGGAACAGACCCAGCTTYGATGCCATATTGTACTAYTATCAATCAGGAGGTCGGTTGAGAAGGCCGGTCAACGTCACCCTCGATATMTTCTCAGAGGAAATTCGCTTCTATGAGCTGGGCGAGGAGGCCATCGAGATGTTCAGGGAAGACGAAGGTTTCATCAAGGAGGAGGAGCGGCCTCTTCCCGACAATGAGTTTCAGAGACAGGTGTGGCTGCTCTTTGAGTACCCAGAGAGCTCAGGTCCTGCTAGGATTATCGCCATAATCTCAGTCATGGTCATCCTGATATCTATTGTCAGCTTTTGCTTGGAGACACTTCCCATTTTCCGCAACGATGAGGATGAAATGCACAAGTCTCACGCGGAAGTGTTTTCACCCGAGACCAACACCACAGTAACCAGGTACACGTCCACCTACTTCACCGACCCCTTCTTTGTCCTGGAGACTCTCTGCATCATATGGTTCTCCTTTGAGTTTTTAGTGCGCTTCTTCGCCTGCCCGAGCAAGGCGGGCTTTTTTGGGAATATTATGAACATTATCGACATCGTCGCCATCATCCCTTACTTCATCACTCTCGGCACGGAGCTGGCCGACAGGGCGGAGGATGGTCAAGCGGGTCAGCAGGCCATGTCTTTAGCCATTCTCAGGGTCATACGATTGGTGCGAGTTTTCAGGATTTTCAAGCTGTCTCGCCACTCCAAGGGGCTTCAGATTTTAGGTCAGACCCTGAAAGCCAGCATGAGAGAGCTGGGCCTGCTCATTTTCTTTCTCTTCATAGGGGTCATCCTGTTCTCCAGTGCTGTGTACTTTGCCGAGGCGGATGAGCCCGAGTCGCAGTTTGAGAGCATCCCGGATGCGTTTTGGTGGGCCGTGGTGTCCATGACCACAGTTGGCTATGGTGACATGGTCCCAACTACAATTGGTGGCAAGATCGTGGGCTCCCTCTGTGCCATTGCGGGTGTGCTGACCATCGCCTTGCCAGTGCCTGTCATTGTGTCCAACTTTAACTACTTCTATCACCGTGAGACTGAAGGTGAAGAACAGGCTCAGTACCTGCAGGTCAATGTGGCCAAAGCTGACTCAGCCGAGGAGCTGAAGAAGAGCCGGAGTGGCTCCACCATCAGTAAATCAGACTATATGGAGATCCAAGAGGCTGTGAACAACAGCAACGAGGACTTTCAGGAGGAAAATCTTAAGACTGCCAACTGCACACTGGCCAACACAAACTACGTAAACATCACCAAGATGCTCACAGACGTGTAGCTGTCTGGTTTTCTCCCCATCAGAGGGGGACATGTGGAACTGAGCAACCGAATGGGAGAGATGTACACCCTGCCACCTTAAGTGTGATGGAAAAACAAGGCAATAGAATACAGAATGTTGGTGATGATTTCAAAAATGTCTTCACTCTTCAAAACTCAAACTTCAATTTGTTGCATGGAGTTGGCTTTGTCTGAGTGGCTGCTTAAAAAAATGCCATTACATACAAATGTTCTGCTCACAACAACAGGAGAAAAAAAGCGAAAAAAATAACGCGTTTTAGAAAATTTGCTGTCAAACAGGAAAAAGTTGTAACACAACACAAGTCCTGCTTTCGTTTCCCGTCCCATCACCCCTCATTTCTCAAGGCACATGCTCTGACACGCACTTTCCGAAGAACCTGCCATGCACTACATACGCTGCTTCTTGGAGCCAATGAAACAAAACTGTCTCATGCGTTACCATTTAGAGATAAAAAAAAAGATGTGTGATTATAAAGCAAGCCCACTCCAGCGCTGGTATGGCCCAAGGGTGACTTGTGACAAAGTTGGTGGTTAAGTACACCGTTATTTTAAGGATGAATGACAGCCATCAGCTCTCAGCTTATGGCTTGACATCTTTTATTCCCCCGTAGACATCAGTATCTGATGAATGACTGAGAATGGCCTTGAATTTTCACTGCTTTGGTTTTATATGTACTGTATATATTGCAATGCAAGCTTCCCCACCTTCATTCACCCAAGCTGGTCTTACTGCAGAGCTTTGAGACGACTTGAATGTTTCTTCTCATTTTGTATTTCACTGCTTCACAAATAGAGTACTTATCTGCATAGATAGGTAGCTTAACTGTGACTGAACTGATAGCCATTAGGTAGGCAGGTGGTGTAATTAGAAAACATAGTCAGTAGATTACTGCATGATTTTTTTTATCTCAATGAGAAGGTCCACTTGTTTCTTAACTGCCACTCGCTTCACCCGGTCACTGTATATCTGTCTGCACACTGCCTTCTGTACAAATCCACACTTTAAAAAAAGAATGCCTGTGGGTAGTTGTTACAACTGCCTAAAGCTGTAAGTGTGGAGCTTATTAGGATTAATCGTAAGGTTAAAAGGACGTGTATCAATATTAACATTCCATGTAGAAGTCATTGCCATTTAACGTTTGCCAGACTGCTACAAACTGAGCTGTGATTTGGGACGTCAACTCAAACTGTGTTTCTGGACTTTGATTRCAGCTGCAGAAGCGATGTATCTTTCACAGGTTCATCAAATAGCATCCTTGTGATCAAAATAGCAGCCTTTAAGGAATCGTGTATAAAAAAATCTTCCCTTTACCTGCCATTTATCTGGGTTTAAGCTATTCTCCTAGTCTTGCATGACCTTAAAAAGACACGTCTAGCATGCGTTTAAGCTCAAAGAGGAAGCCTTTAAGACAGAAAAAAAATGTTGCCGTAGGTATATTTATTACTTATATATGAACCAATATAAACTGTCAGAACACATTTAGAGTACACATAAGCTTTTATCGGAGAATTTATAAACACAGAAGGGCGATGTTTAAGAATAAGCARAAGCTTTTCCGCAATGTGCAGCTAATTGTCCTTTTTTAATAGTAATAATAATTGTTCTGAGCACTGTTCTTCGGTTTTAGAGCCTGTTCAGAGTGCCAAAGACACTCTCACTTGCCATTTTTAAATTGTCTCATTGTTTGGTGAGTTTTTTTAGATAACTTGACACATGCGCTGTAGCTGCAGACATTTCCTTCACTTAAATCAAGACTGCCCTATAGATAAATAGCTGTTTAAAGCACCTCTAAGCTTTTACACAGAGATGTTTATTGACATTACTTCAGTTGGAATCTAAATGGAGTCTAACTGTCCTCTGAATGAGTCTCTGATGCCAGAAGCGCAAATGTGTCTTTAAAGGTTGGCACCAAAAGTGAATTTGTTTCYGAGTCTAGGATCATATCCAGCTACGACTTTCCAGTTCGCTCAACACTGCCAAGGTGACGCCAAAGGCAGTAACATCAATAATGGGAGGCGATAATTAGCAGCAGCGTAGCAGATACTGTCTGACCCAGCGATTATCCGACGCGTCTCAGTGTCTCTTACCTTTCTGCATCTCCCTGCAGATGTTCTGTAGGGTTAGAAAGGTGATGGGTTGGAAGGAGGTGTGTAGCAAGAACCGCCTCAATGAATTCTGTGGTTGCAGGATTTCCATCTTTGTTGTTTCATTTGGCTCGCTGCATTCTGAACCTGCAGTAACAAAGTGTTTCAATGCCATCGCTGCCAGTTTGTGCTCAGGATGCATCATCCAACTGCCTGACATGAGGCTTCTTCAATCGTCTCTGTCCAAATTGGTTGATTTTTAGAGATTTTTACTTTTATTTAATTTTATTTATTATTATTATTATTTTTTATTATTATTTTTAATGTTTTGAAAGWAGTTTGAAGGCAAAATGCAATATAAAATGGTCAATAACTTGAGGTAAGATGAAATTAGGTAGCTTTTTAGCAATACCCACATACTTTTTAGGTGAAAGAGTTCTTTGTGACAAAATATGCATGTTATTTAAATCAAACTAAAATCTCATTGATCAACCGTTGGGTACATATTTTGGTGTGTAGATGCACAATGAAGACTTGTGATTATCTTTGATAAATAAGAAAGCGACTGAATGTCACTGTCATAGCAYGGTCGAGCAGCTGCATTAATGCAAAAGCCATTTGCATATTTGTAAATGTGAGACAAACACAACTTAACATGACCAAAAAAAAAACTGTTGTCTATGCATGCAAGTGCACCACATCTAATTGTCTTCATTCTTTTTTTTTTTTTTTTTTTTTTGGTGGACAGAAGCAATGATACATGTTAACGTTTTAACATTTTTCTGTTGTGTTTGACATGGTGCATGTCACTGTACCTTTGCAAAATTCAGATGTAGCAACTCACACCGGAGATCACAACATTGTAGTTTAACGTCCACAATTATTTCTGTTTAAAGCACAAAAAGGAGCAGAATCATCCAAATCAAAGTGTAACCATGTAGTACGGTTTTATGGAGAGGACCACGGTCTCTGAGAATAAAATCTGTCAACCACTGAGGGACCCGCCAGCAAATCCGCTCCATGAGAAGAGGTCCTGCTGTGAAAATACAGGGAAATCTATGCAGAGAATGATGATAAGCTGGAAATTTATGTGAGAAAAGGAGATTTAGGTTAAAATTTATTTTAATGGTTTGTCAGGCATTCGTTCCATTATTTAAAAAGTTGTCAGGGTATTTGAAAGGAACCTCTTGAGCACAAAATAAATTAAAAAAAAATAATGTGAATATTAGCTTTCTGAGATTCAGGTTTCTTTGAAATGCCAGGTCAGCTCTCTGTAACAAACCGCCTCTCTTACTTACGAGACACTAGATGCAATCTGTGTGGAAGTGTGTTCGAAAAACCGACGTTCTTTTTGTTTCTTTTGACCCTGGAGCCTGACATTGTTGCGTCCACTGAAACAATATGTACAGCTCTTCACCTCACCCCTGTCCTCCTGTATCATTGAGGCCTAAAAACACACAACAGTGCTGATGCAGTGGAYGGTGAATTTTCTTTCTGTGAAATGAAATGTGGAGGAATAATGTACATAATCATGAAATGGACGATGGAGAGGAAAAAAAGATGTACTACATACTGTATGTGAATTTTGAATTTAAAACATAGTATTATCTGCACTTTACAACAAAAAAGGACAATCTAAAGATGGGATAACCATGGGAAATAAACAAAAATACTTTTAATCCTTCCAAATGATCATAACCATGAYAAAAAATAATAATAATGAAGCCAATAGTTATTCAAATGAAACTGTTGTCAGTGTGTTTATTGATTGTGGGTAATTTTTTTCATGTTTTCAGCTCAGGGGAACGTGTTTTCTTAAACATTATCACACCAACCCCGTTTTCTCACAATGCTCACACGGTCTGCAACTGATTTGAGGCTCTAATTTTAGCCGAAGAGCATCTGCGCTGATTTAAAATGCCACAAATCTATCAAAGGCCCGTTTGTTGTTATTCTTAGGACAGCCAGCGTCTTTGTAGCCACAGGCGGTGTAGAGGACATTTTCAAACGCCTCCTGGTATCTTCAGCTTCTGCCTCCCTTTAAGTGCACGGTAGATGCTCTCTGCAGTTTAAAAAAAGCGAGCAGGGTGTTCTATTAATAGCCTTTTTCATTGGAGAAAAAGATAGAAGGAGGAGGAGGAGGATGTATCTGAGCGGAGACGGAGGCAGGAAGAAAAAGTGGAGGAAAAAAGAAGATGCTTACGTGGTCAGATTCCTGAAGAAATTCTTCAAAGTGACCTCTCTTTGGTTCTGTAATTCTGTTACCGGTGGGACAAACTGTGAGAAAAGTCAGAGAAATTCACGGATTTTTAGTTATTATTATTTTTTGTTAAAGATTCATGTTTTTTATAACTTAGAAATCTATGAGTTTTGAAACAAAACCAGCTTTAATTCTTTGCCTGGGTGGTTGTGTTTTATTCCTGAGCTTCCATGATATGTTGTTAGCCTTCTGCCACTTTATCTCCTGCCATCTTTTGTCAGCTTGTGGCGAGCAGGAACACTCAGGGCTTTCGATGCCGTGGAGCTCCAGCTCTGCTTTAGTCATTAGTCTTGCTTTGATCCGGCAATGCTCTGCAGCACGCTGAGGCTCGCTTCGCAGAAACCAGGACAAAAATATGGAAAGCCGGATGGGATTGAAGCCTTCCTGCCAACAACACTGTCCTGCTGCAGGTGTCCACCTCCGTACTCAACACTGTAGCTGTTATTTACAAGGTGGTGTGAGTGTCTGTGTGTTGTTTGTCAGGGATGCCCACAGGACCGTGGCTGGGGAACCATACGGGCTTTCACTGTACTTACCAGCTTGTAATTAGTCAARAAGCACTGAGGGACTTGGAGCTAATCTAACAGGGCTGCCCTGGCACCAYAAAGCACCTCAGTACAAGGAGGTGTTCAGCTTTATTTTCCACATTAAAACCTGCTCTGTCAGTCAGGGGAAGTGGAACCCTGTGARAAGGTTAAGTTTTGTCACATTTAAGTTTAAGTTTGAGTGATTCAAGAAGAATTTTAATGTTTGCTTTAACGTTCAGTCGTGAAAAAAGTGGAAAAGAAAATTTAACTGCCCTCTAGTGGTGATGTGCCATGATGATTTGAGATTTGGTTTTCTGCCTAACACCATTTCATAGTCATCAGTAGTGATTAAGCACGTTTTTTTTTAAAAAAGAGACCATATAAAAC